TTGTAATCATTTGTTTATCTCCTCATACACTACATACATGGTAAGTTTCTTGACAGTACTTCATTTTCTTCTGGGTGCATATAGTTTTTTGTGACAGTGTATTTTACTCAATTTTGTGCTGCTGCTTACTAAACATTAATCCAAGGCTCTTTGTTTCTCGAGATTGTATTCCCAGTGCTCTCCAGAAGTCACATCTTCCAAACCTGGATACCTGGCCTCTCTTTCCACATGAACTTATTTCTTTGCCCACCAGATCACTTTTTCACAATGCACTGACTTTTTCAGAGGTGACAGTACCTCCCTTTTCTCTTTCAGATTCTCTTAGGTGACTACTTGAAGAATGAAACAGTTAGATATCTTCATGTGATCAACTGAGGCAACTGCTAAGAATTAGCAGCTGAATATCAGTTTTAATATATATCCAATTTTAACTATCCAAATGTCCCACAATCAATGTACTGCAATTTAAGTGGCATTTAAAGTGAATTTCAGCTAGTTTGATGAAAAACACTTGTATTTTTTTAATTAATATACTCTCATTTCCTACTTTGTTAAAAATCTGTTAATGGTTATGAGATCTGTACATTAGGTCATTCTGGATATTGGACATCCAGATCTCAGACTTTGTACTGTATTACTTTCCTTAATTTCTTGTCAGTATTACATAAGCATGATTAATGATGTGGTGGTAGTGGAGTTCCCATCAATTTACCAGAACAGTTATGTGCACCCAACACATGATTAGTTACACTGAGACAACTTCCATACCAATAGAAGTTATCTTGAACTACAAATTTTAAACAACGAATAGCTAACTTATAAAATCCAAATGAAGTAATAAAATGATAAATGCTTGGATGAAAAGTACATAAAACTCAACAAATGATATCCATCAAATGATGACACACATTAAAAATGCAAGATAATAAATAAAAGCTAAATCCAATTCAGTATTAAAAACCTGTTTCTTTCACTTATTGAAATAAATCATTCATGACCTCTTTTCCAATTATACGGTCAAGAGACAAGTGACACTTGTTAAAATGCTTTAATCTCAATCTATTAAAATTCGGGCACTTTATTAAAAAATGACACAGAGATAGAATACTATCACAGCTGGAGCAAAATGGGTCATTCTTCGCTTTCAGAAGATAATTGTGAGTGATTCAGGAAAGGCTGATTCAAATACAAGTCAACATGACTCCTTCAGTTTGGTTTCTAATACTTTCCCAAAAATCCCCTCTAGGCTTCTTAACTTATTGTTTAATTGTGCATTCCAAATTTCTTATCATTTAAGATTTTCTGCTTGATGACCTTGCTGACTTGTCTGGAAGGAATGAGTTGACTGGATTCTTCAACAGCAGCTTTGGGTGTGATTCAGTAAAGCCAAAGATCGTGCCAATTCATAAGTGAGACACATTCCAGTCTACAATGCATAAGAGCTCTATAAATGCGAAGTACTGATCCACGCTCGGCTTCCCAAGAGGTGTTCAACATGACTTTTAAAATATTTAGTGTTTTTAAACACTTCTTCCTCAAGTACAGGACATGGGGAATGAAGGTCAGCTCTTGGTTGAACATCACTCCTAAAAACTTGATTTTGGGTATGCAAGTCTTATGTTTTGAAAAGAAAAAATCCATGCTTTTCTGACCATTTCTCAGTCCTGTTAAGGAAGATCTGCAATTGTTTCTCAACAAATCTCATATCTGCACCAATGCAACTTACTTGGAGGTCATTAACATATAGTGATCCTGACACAGTATGAGGGAGTTCCTTTAAAATAGTATTTATTTTAAATAAAACAAAGTAACACTTAAAAGGGAGCCTTGAGGAGGGGAGCACTTAAAAGGGAGTCGTTCTTGTTCGAACACATCTGAGAAAACTGAGCCCATCCTCATCTGAAAAGTTCTAGCTCTAAATAAATCTGTATGAAAATCAATAAAAGCCAAAAAAGACCACAGATATGATGATTGTGCAAAATGTCATATGTCAATGAAAACAGAAACAAGGTGGTTTCTTTCGAGAAAAGCTTTATGGATTGAAGTTTCCAAGTGGAAAATATAATCACAATGGATGTTCTACCTTTATGGAAATCACTCTGGTATGGGAAGATTACATTGTTTTTCTCTAGGTAATACATAGGCAATTTACCATTTTTTCAAAAAACTTGCAGATGCAATTAGTTAAGTGTAATGGGCCGATAGTTAGAGGGATTTGTCAGGTCTTTGTTTGGTTTAGCTATGATAATGATAACAGCTTTCTTCCACAAATGGGAAACGAGTGCTCCTTCCACACTCGATTTTAGAGAGATGTGTGTGTGTAATTATGGCAAAGCCTCGAGGGCTATCTGCCTAAGGAAAGGGATGCCTTCGTGGAGGACTTTCTAAGGGAAACTGGCTCGTATACACGTTACACATGGGGAAAACCATGAAAACGCCCATGCAGCCAGCCCGTTCGCGGGATTCGAACCTTGGACCAAACTACCAGTGTTCAGCGACTTTACCGCTCGGGCGCTGGTGGGCCCTCGATTTTAGAGAGAAGGGCAATCAATGACACAGACAAAAGCTGTTTCAGCATTTCATAACTAACACCATTTGGACCTAGATTAAACCTACATGTCTGCAGCAAAGCTCTCTTCAGCTCAAGCATAGTGAAATCACTATTATGTGGTTCCGAGTTAGAAGAGTTGATGGATATGGGAAATTTCTCTCAGCATAATTTGACAGAAAGAAGTGCTGGGGGATAGTTGCTGCCACTAGAAACAGAAGCAAAAGTCTTGCCAATAACATTGCAATTTCTTTTGTGGTACCATTTACTCAAGCATCTTTTTCCAAAATAGAAAGTGCATGATACATACTGCATCCTTTCCTAACTCTCTCCCATACACACACACACAGAGTGGAGGATGTTATTCATGACACATAATATACCCATGAATCCCTCTGGCTCTTTCATCATACTTTTCTTGCATTTGCTTTTTTAAAGGCTAAGAGGTTTCACAAAGTGGAGTAACTATGCAAAATTCCCCAAGACTTTCTCTGTTGTCTGAAGGTTTCTTGGCATTCATGGCTTCACCATGGTTTTCAATATTTTTGTAGATTTTCTGATGTCATTGGTATACAGGCTATAGCTGCCTGCATTGTAATATTAGTAACAGCTATTACTGCATCATCAATAGGCACATCTTTTATCATTTCTTTGGTGAACTCTGCAAGAGATGAGAAGAGTTCCCAGTTTGCCCTCCCAAGTATAAACCGAGGATATATTGACATAAGATTTGCTCCTTCTTATGCAACAGATACAAAAATAGAAAATAATCATTGTTATAAGAATCGTTCCAAACATGAAAAGTGAAAAAGGGCAAAAAAGATGGTGAATAGATGGCAAGATCAAAAGCACGAAAAGTCCTTGTAAGCTTGTGGATGTAGTCCATTGTTGAGGAGACAATGATAATTATTTTCAAGCATTAGCTCGATTTGCCTACTTCGAAGATTAGTACATTTAATTTATTAATAATTTAATGTTTAGTAATTTAATGAAGATGCCTGTTAAAGCCACCTGTTATGATAAAAGGTTCAGGCACTTGCTCTATTAAATTATCCAAATCCCTCTGATCAATGTGGTCATTACCGATTTGACTGCATTTTCCATAATGATTACATTTTTCGAGACTGTGACTTTGCGACTAATTTTCTCGCCTCTGCAAAAGGAATATTTCTGGTTATTTAAACATTTTGCACCTCCTTCTGAGATTTCAAAATCGATAGAAAGCTGTGTGCTTTACAATTTGCACATAGTGACTTGTCACTCCAGTTTCCACTGGCATGGATTTCCACAGATGCACATGCGAGTTTACCACAATAGGACATTTTAGAATGGCCAAAATACTGGCACTGAAAACCTTGTAGTGGCTTAGGTATGTGAGGTCTTAAGATGCAGTGCAAATACCCAGCCTTAATAAATTGCGGCAGATCAGGTGAACCAAAGGTCAGGATTACGTGTTTTCTATTTACCAAAAGACCTTCTTTGTGAATTTTGATCTGCCATGCAGTACAGACATTCTGCTTTGACAGCTTTTAGATAATTTCCCTTCTCAAACAAAGAGGTCAGTCTTGGAAATAATGCCGACAGTAATTTAATGATTAGTGTTTCGACACATTAACATCGACTTCCCAAGTTTTACCAGTTCCAGAAGGGTAGCACATTGAGCTGGATAAATAATTTCTGTTAAAATATCTCCAGAGCATAGTTACTGTATTATCTTTGGCTCACCAATAATGTCTTGTACATATTTTCGGATAAGGAATGATGACATCTTTTGAAGATCACCTTATTCTTATTATATCAAGATCATTAAATTACTGTCGGCATAATAAGATCACCTTATTATATCAAGAAATCTAGGAAGAAATGGAAGGGAACAGATAAGGAAAGGAGAAAAGATCACTAGGGCTTGAGGATCGTGACCCCTGTCTCACCAAGACAGTGATTCCTTGAAGTGCTAGAGTACCTTGGAATTGCCACACCCATCTCACAAAAAATGAGCCCTTGTTATGATTAATGAAGATATATACAAAAAATGAACATGCAGTGTAACGTTTTCCATCAAAATTAAACTCAAAATTCTGCAAAAATAAATTATAAGAAAGCATATATAATACTAATGCTCCAAATAAAAAAATAAACTGAATTAAAAGCTCAGATTCTAGGAAGATGAGAATAACTTAAACAAAGTGAGGTTCTTAAAACCTGATATGTTTACCTCTAACTGTTTATTATCTTTCATCAGATCTTCAAGAACTGCAGCTAAATCTTCTTCCTCATCATCAGCATCCTGGATGCAATTAAGAAATCATATACAGAATGATAAATGCAAATGCCTTAATTTTAAATATGACATTTTTTACACTACAGTTCAACAGATGCAATAAGCTCAAACTATAAAATAAAGAGATACAACAGATACAAAAATCAATCATGATGCATTATAAATATACAGTTCAAATGCACTTACAACAATTTTTAAATGCATAATACACGTGTAACAAAGTTCAGTTTTACTAGCCAACTTAATGGCACGGTATTAAATTAACATTATAAAGAACCTAAAACTTCTTTTTAGAAGACAATCAATTGCACTTTTCTAATATGCAGTTGATAAAGAATGACTCCCACAAGCAAGCCGGTATATTTTGGTTCTTGTACTCGAAAAATGGCTCCCACCTACTCACCTAGCATCTCCCACCTACTCACCTAGGAGGATGACTTTGCATGTCAGTGGGCTCATGTTCAAATCCCTATTAAATACATATACCAGACATCTGGGGTAAGAGTTCCTAAAGCAGGGTCACCACTCAAACACAAGAATGAAAATCCCTGATTTTTCCAGGTGTGGTTAAGTAAATTTCAGTCTACCCACACAGTGCACATATGGTAAGGTAATCATGGTACCACTTGAAAACACAAAAATTTGATAATTACACATGACTTTCATAGAAAAAAACTTATTTTTTTGATAAACATTACTACTATAATTACAATAGTTGTTCTTTTCCTCAGTAACTTTCAAATTAAGTTTTTGCCAAACTAAGAAAATTTGCTATACAATATTTACATACTAAACCTACATTCTCTTTAGCAGTCAATTGTATCACGAAATAAGCATAATTTTAAAATTAATTTTAGACGCTTGTGGATGTAGTCCATTGTTGAGGAGACAATGATAATTATTTTCAAGCATTAGCTCGATTTGCTACTACCTTAGACATTTATATTTAATTTAATAATGCATTTAATGAAGATGGCTGTTACCCATCTTCATTAATTACTAAGCATTAATTACAAAAATAAATATTATTAAATTATTTAAAAAATATTAATTACAAAATAAGTTAAATACTTAGATTTATCCATCTAAGTAATAATCAAAACTAGAAACGAGATTCATTGATTTTTCAACACTAAGTATAAACTTTTAAGCATTAATTATGATAAAATGTCCTGAATGACATCTTTATTGAAGAGTATTACAAATAAATTCTGAAATGAAGTTATTGTTTACAAAAAGGCAGTGGGGGAGCAGTTATATTTAACCTATTAAGTAACATATGATTGCCAAACAATCACATCTGTGATTCTAGGAACAACGGTTGCTTAATTCTGAAAGGTCAAAGAAGAAGTTTTCTTCAAAATAAGTCAACAGATTTTAGATGAAAGACTTTTAATATAAGCATATGTAATACAAATTAAAGGCAGTTTTTGATTAGACCTAAAGGCAAAAAAGCCATTTTGAAGATTTACACAAAATAGAAAAAATGCTAATTAAAAAACACACCATTAAAACTAAATTTGTTGTTTTAATTCTGCAATATGCAAGTCAACTGAAGAAACATATTTGCTCAATTTTTTTTACTTGAAAATTTTAACCTGTGATTGTGCTTTCCTTTTGTTCAATTTTTTTTAAAAATCTTTACTATCTCAAAACTTGGAACGCTTGATGATATGCACCATGAGCAGATGTAGCATATCGTAACATATCAGGAGTTGTATTAACAGCAGCAATACTCACATCTATAACTGCAGCATTACAATAAATGGTTTCATCCAGAAAATCTATTTTATCCATTTCTCAGAGGAGTTTTTGCCCCTCGTAATAAATCTCTTTTGACAATTTTAAGAATAGCATACTATGGAAAGCTGTATACAGGAAGCGGCATATAGGATCAGCTATCTAAAATGATTTTTGAAATGTATGTAGAGCTCCCTGCAACAGATATAAAAAAGATTTTTGTCAAAAGCTTATTTTTAACTGCTTCTCACAGCCTTTTAACTGATAGTCTTCAGCAATTTTTCACACAAGCGAAACTATTAATAGCTCTCTTACAATAGGTATGTTTTCATATCATCTTACCTCACAAAATTTTAGCAGAAAAGTTGTACAATTAGTGATACGATATAATCAGGTCATCGAGCAGGAATTTCTTAAAATACTTTTTGCATGCCTTTAAATAATGCACTTAGACCCAGTCAGCAACTTTATTATCAGTTCTGAAGGCACTGTGACCACATGACCCAATAACTAATAAATGACAGTCATTATTATTTGCAAAAGTTTCTTTTAAATCTCCGAGGAATTTAAGACTGACATTTAGTCCATCCATGGATACTTGGAGCAAATTTTTCTTTATCTAATTATGAAGTTCTCTAAAAAAACTTATCAAAAGGTTATCAGCAGCAGCATTACCCCCCCCCAAAATGACTTGATGTATCTTGTGTTCAATTCATTCCTCAAACTGGAAAACCAAACAAAAGGGCCATTTGACCTCTACTGACAATTCTGTTTAAAGCTTCACCGAAATATAATATGAATTTGGTGAAGATCAGAAATGAGTATCTTTTTGAAGTATGGAGCTAAACCAAACGATATTATATATATAAGTCCGAGGGTCATAGCTTTAGCTCTACTGCTGTCATCAAACATTTTCTGGAATAGAAAAGCAGCAAATATACACAACAGAACTCACAAAGTCAATATGATTTATATACATATTACGTCCCTTCCACGCACTTGACTAGAGTATAACAGAAATCTTCGTGATTAAAAATAAAGAATATGATAAATGATAAAAACAATTTAAACATTCAAATCAAAATCAATTGAATTTAATTATGGTTATACATGTATTACATGATTCTAATTATAATACATTAACTAACTGACAATGTTTGCAAAAACTACTTAAAAAACATTTCATGTTCATACACTGAAAACAAATTTAAAGGAGCTGTATGTAAAAAGTTGAGAGAACAATATTTTACTTTATAAAGTATACTAATGGTATCAAAATTATTCATTCAATATAGTGCTTATCTTCATCAAAATGCCTAAAAATACACAATATATTTATTGCCCTTTAAGCAAAATACTAGATAATCTATAATTTAGAGCAGATTATTAAATTTTTACATTTTTTGAACTGAAAGTTTTATTTTACAACTGAAAGTTTTCGTGACAACATAGAGGATGAGATAATAGAATCCAGTTTTAATCATGAACCATGCACTAAAATTTAAATAAAAAATGCAAGTCATCAGTTTTAACCCTACGGAAAGTTGAAGTCAAATGAAAAACATAATTTTATAATTTTTACAATCCATTTGCAGTAATAAAAGAAACAGTAGCATCACAAATAGCATTGGCTATTTTCATTTCGAAAAGAAGCCCCAACAAGCATTGTTTTCAAAAATGTTTTGTCAGCTTTTTATGCATTCAGGTTTGATATTTTTTCATAATAAAACATGTGGTGAGAGACGAAACTTAATTTCATTTTAGCACTAAATAAGATACCTCCACATTGAATACACAATCATTTATTAACATAAATATGTATGATAAAAAATTGGCTCTCATGTTGTTGCTTAGTATACATCTCAAACCAAAACATTCTACATCAAAATATCATTGATCTTACACCTATTGAATAATTTATTTCCTTGGTGCCAACCAGGCTATCATTTTTTTAAAATTTACTACTTCCATTACTGCATGACTATCAATACACAGGAGTTTCATAAATAACTCATGCAGCAAAATCTAAACATTAATTTTTAACCATTTAACAGTTTCTCCCGGAATATTGTCATTTTAAATATAACCTCGAAAATAGACTGTCCCCTGTTTTTGTTAGAATTAAAAGATACATCAAGCCCGGGTTTTCGTCTTACTTTCACACCCAAATGCCTAAGGGGACAAGCATCACTCCAATCCTGATGACAATAGTTAATGAACCTCAGTAGCATGGGGAGAACTCTTCTTGATGTTTTACAATAACGTCCTTACACTAGTTCTAAAGAAACAAGAAATTTATAACCAGTCAGAAACTGAATAGAAAAGGAATTAAGAATTTCTGTTTTAGAGTTATAACTAAGAAATCAAAAATAATAAAAGATTTTTTATTGAATAAGCTTTTTATTTATAACTCATAAAAAGGATTAATAAATTAAAAAGAGAAAAGCAATTTAGATACTATTCTGCTATCAGGAGAGATTCAAGAATGCACGTACACACGTGTGTATGTTTCTGTGTGCATATATGTTTAAACACATACATATGTTTGCCCATATATACATGCATACATGAACACATACATCTATTTATACTATATGCATACGTACAAACATTTTTGAATCCTGTTTGATAACAAAAGAGTACATAAAAATTAGCAATGCCCTTGCCAAGATTCGAACCTGGACCTCTTGAATATGCGCCGAGTTTGCTACTGTTACACCACAAAAGCATACTGGAAGGAGGGAGAAAATACCTTATAGTGAAATGCCTAAATCTATCTTGGATAAAAGAAATATTTATGTAATTATATGCATAATATTTAGCATGAAAATAAAGAACTTGAAACTTGTTCTGATATAAAAATTGATAAAGAAATTCAAAAATTCTAATGAAGGTATTATACAACTAAAAAAAGGATACAGAAGCACTGCTATCACCCCTGTCAGATGAACTATTTTCAGTTGAATCAAAGGAATACCGTTTAAACCTGGAAATAAAAAACTGATAAAATACATACCAACTAACAACATATTATTTACTTAAACAGTAGTACAAAATGCATATTTTTTAATATTTAAAAGAACTCAAGTCGCATGAAAATTTCATTAATTTATAACTTTTATTTTACACTGCAAACCACTATTAGAATTTTCTCAATGGCTCATTTAACAGGTTATGGCAAAGCACACAGAGCCTCATCGTCTACAGGCGGAAATGCTTTTGTGGAGACTTTTAAAGAGAAAGTGGCTAAAATTCAAGTTACACATGAGGAAAAGCATGAAAACACCCACCTAGCTAACAAGTCTGCCACAATTTAGGTAAAAATAACAAGCTAAATAAAGATTATTGAAGATGTTGAAGAAGATGAATCAGCGTAATGTTTGTAAATTTTGCAGGACTAGTTTCGATGGTTTCAGTACAGAACTTTCTTCTTCAGCTGCCTAAGTACAAATGAACAATATAGAATACAGTGATGAGATAAGAATGACTGGTTAAGTAAAGTTACTGGCGCCATCTATTGATGAAACATGAAAACTAAACAAAAAAAGGCTGAGGGTGAAAATGGGTTCGAATCAGGGTTGTTAACTAAAACTGAAAGTTTTTTTAATGTGAAAATCTTATTCAATAATGGAAGATACTTTTTGAATAATTTTGGCTGCAGTAAAATGGAAAGTGCAATTTTCTGACCAACAGTGCTAGGTAACAGTGGATTTTTGAATTTCCTTCCTCCTAACATATGCCTCATCTTCTTTAATGCAAAGTTTTAAGGCTCTCTTAGTTTGACCAATGTAAATTAAACCACACTATCAAGGAATTCTGTAAATACCCCAAGAATTGATATATAGAATGGGGTCCTTAACCCTCTGAGTGACCTGGGTGTTTGGATCTGCCATGAAGACCTGTATTTAATGAGCCCTCACTAGTTAAATAAGTATATTACCTATTTTAGTCTCTATTTTTATAAACTTATACTCACCAAGATGGCATTTATATTATTAATGAAAGTAATAAAGCAAAATATCTTAAATTAGAAGATAATATATAAGAAGTGGCAAAAATTCTCATGACCGGATAAAGCCGGGCATGGTGCTCAGAGGGTTAAGTATGCAACTGGGAATTTTACTGATAGAAGAAAAAAAACACCCAAAAGTTAAATTTCTGTAAAATATGTGCAATTCTATAGCTAACTGATGGGAAAAAAGGAATGACAACAAAATTCTTATCATCTTCTAAAATGAGAGAATGCCTTTTGATGTGTTGAGATGAGAATTTTTAAAATGTTTGGTTAATAATAATGAGTGAAAAGGCTATGACAATAGCAATTGCTTTTAAGCAATTTAGTTCTTGATCAAGAGAAAATCTGGGGAAGCAAACTTGAAGTGCATGGAAAACAAAAGAATAAAATGAAGCTAACTTCTGCTTATTTAACTGACATGATTTGAAGAGTAGTGGAAGGCAAACCGATGATGGTTTATGGCAAACAGTAGCACGATTCTGTATTTAAACCATAAAAGTTAGTCTTTTGAAATTTCCAAACATTATGCTGATTCTTGTTGTTTAACTTCTCCAATAAGTCTGTTACAATTTAAGCCTGGGATAAACCAGCAGTGCTTAGTGGTCATATCTACCTAGCTATTGGTGTGCTCAAACTTGTTTCTTGGATGTTATAGAAGACACACCATATACTTGAATATAAGAATTTTCTCTTTTTTTTAATTGTAAAATTTGGTAAGGTCTATTCAAGTACATTGCCCTCCAAAAGTTAAGGAACAACATGTTTTTCAAAACTCACCATTACAATAATGTCTAACATTCACAGTTCATATACATGACAGTAATGAAGTTTAAGAAAACATATTCACAAACAATAGCTAGTACTTATATTTTACAGAAATGAATACTTATATAAGAGCTGGGAAAAAATGCAAAAATTGTAATTTTTGTTCAGGAGTGTTGATCTTCAGTTGTTATTATAGTTTCACGGACAATATTCAGGAGAGTCTATCAACGTCCAGGAGAAATCGTTTGCCCGATTCGTTGAGGTGGTGGGCGATTGCATAGATAGAAATGGGGATGTCACAAGCTGATTCTGCTAGATGTCTCGTAGTGTGGCCCACCGATTACGGAATCAGTTTGAATCCGAGGATTCTGTTTCTAGAAGACATGTTTCAGGCAGATCGAGAGTTACAACACCTGCAGGAGACCATTATTTAGGTCTCTTGGCCTGAAGGAGGAGTACATTACTGTGCCTCAGCTCATAGCAGAATCTCAGCTAGTACAGAGTGCAGATGCCAGTACAGAGTGCAGATACCAACCCATCTTTCCTCAAAAAACAATGATATACTGTTTCTCCAAGACTGGATTTCTCTGCTAAAGGTGCAATTTTTTGTTTTAATTTATGTTTGTGTTGAACTTCAGAAACATTCTATGTCACATTCATTAAAGAACTGTTTAGTGAACATATTCTGTAAATTTCTTGTTTCTGTGTTGCTTTATTCTCAAATCAGACACAAAAAGCATGCTGTTCGTTAACTTTTGGAGGGCAGTGTATTTTGACAAATGAAATTTGAGTGAGAGGAAGACATTTTTAACTATCATAGTATACAGAATAATTACCCTGTTTAAATACTAAATAAACCACATGGTTAATTAATTACTTTATGCATCGTTACTACTCATTATAATAGTCATGTCTAGGCAAGAGATTTCAGCTTTGGCCTGCATCTTATGCTGGTTACTAGTATGTCTGAAAACAAATAGGTAATAGTATAATATCTCTAACTCCCCCCATAATTGTTCTTTTTATACCATAGTAAAATATTGTATTTGATTAGATACAATATTTTACTATGTCTCAAATATTCACTTATACACTTCTTTCTTAAAATTTACTCTAAATTGTATGGGGTAGGGGGGTCTTATTTTTAAGCAAATACAGTATTAAATTGCAAAAAATGGCATTAGAAAGCTTCTTTATAAATGTTAGTGATCCTCCTAATTTATTATGTAAACTACTTGGAAAAACGAAACTGTGTGTCAGCATACATTTCTTGGTCCAAAATATGTCTATAAAAATCTGAATTTATTTAAATACTATGAAATAAATGCCTGTTTCTCAAAAAAAAAAAAAAAAAAAAAAAAAAAAAAAAAAAAGAATGAGCTATTCCTGTGTGATTTTCCTTTATGAATACAAATTACAAAATATGCAGGAAATAAATGCAGATTTTAAGAATTTTACTAAAACTAGGCAATGTGTAATAACACTAAACATCACTTTTTTTTTAATTCCTTCATAAAGTCATGCACTTTTAGTCTTAAGTTAACAAAACACACAGTGCTAGATTTTAGTTGATACAGTAATAGTGTGTTGAAGTATAGCTTGTGTGGAAAAAAGAAGGCATGGTGTGTGAAAGTCAAGCAATATCTACCTTGTCCATATTCTTAAAAGATATTCCTCATGTTTTAACTGTCTCTTACCATAAGTAGAAGCAGCTGATAAGCATTCAGCTGCACAGATATTCAGTTTTAAATGCTCTACCATGAAAGTTGATTAATAACAGAACAATAAATTGAAATATAAGTATAAATCAGTAGTATTCAGCCTGGTCCTGATCATCCATTACTGGGCAGTTCAGCTTTCATGGTGGGCAGCAGCGGCGCTGTGATCACAAACAAATTGACTAACTTTTGACCAGTCAAGATCAGGACAGCAGTCAGACTCAGTTACAGGGTATTTGTATTGGGACTTCTTTTGTGACCACCCGACATGCATCCACCTGATCCTGCCTGACTAACGCCTGGAGACGAGAAGGATGTCTCGCATTACCAGATTGGAAAAGCATGCAACCTTCCAAAAGTCATGACCACACAACAGACTTCAAGCGCATAAGTTTTGTTCACATGACGTTAGTGAAATTAAATCATTACGTTATCAAAACTAAAGTCAGTACATAGATTTCTCAGAGCAAGCATGTGCTTACAGCTTCAAACAAAACATTGTGAAATATTGTGAGCTCATCTCTCCAAAATAAGTAAATAAAAATTGCACACAGCTATTCATCAAAGTATCTGAAGATGGGTTTCACAGAATCTTTTGAAAATAAAGAACATCCAGGGTGTTTATTGTGCCATAAAACATTATCCAAAGAGGCAATGAAGCGAAGTCGACTGTAAGAACATCTTTCTACAAAGCATCCAACTGACAAAGACAGGCCCACTAAATATTTTCAGAAAACATATAAAAAAATGTCAAAATCGTTCAACCATCATTGCAGAATTTAAAAAACAACATATGATGAACAAAATTGTTTCAAAAGAATAAATTCAATTTAAATCCATTCATTGCATTTCACAATTAATTGCAAAAAGTGGTAAAATTTATAATATTGGAGAAATTTTAATAATACTCTCTATAAAAGAATTTATTTCAACAGTAATGCATCAAGATATACCTCAGATTTAAAAAAATGCTGCAACTAAGCGCTAGCAGAATAAAGTGATGAACTGATGAAATAACAGTTGATGTTGAAAACAAACTTATCAGTATTCTCTAAAAATCTTCAGTTTTCATGCAATAAGATGAATCTAGCATTTCTGATAATGATGCTTTATTAATGGCATAAAATGAGAAAGAGAAATAAGAAACAAGAAGAAATGCTATTCACAAGAAAAATAAGAAACAAGAAGAAATTCTATTCACAAGAAAAATAAGAAACAAGAAGAAATGCTATTCACAATAAATCTCATCAAAGATACAAAAGGATTATCCATATTTAATACTGTGAGAACACACTTTACAAAAAATAATATTCCTTTGAATAATATTGTTACATGTGCTAATGATGGAGCATCATCAATAGTAAGTTACTATCGTGGATTTGTGGCTTATTTGAAGCAGGAAGTGCCAAATGTTTTATGTATTGATTGTGCGGTGCATAGATATCTTGAACGAAAATATCTACGTCAAGTCTGTATTCATCATCAGCTATAATAAATCAAGCCGTATACAAGATCAAATCCAGTGCTAAGAATGATAGAATGTTTCAATAGCTTTGCCAGGACAATAATGAAGATTTTACTTTTGCACACAGAAGTTTGGTGGCAGTCAAAGGGGGGGGGTACATCTTTGGCTAGACATGTAGCATTAGTGTCACACAATTTTTTGAAAGAGATAATGAGAAGTGTCATACAATTTTTTGAAAGAGATAATAAGAAGTGTCATAAAACAATTCTTGAAAGTAATGAGACCAACCTGTGTCAACAGTTTAAAACAGTAAAGAATGATGGCTTTTGCTTGGAAGATATTTAAAGATATTTAACAATGTCAATTTGTAGCTTCAAGGAGGTAATAAAACTCTTATAGGTTGCCAAAGTATCTATCCTGCTATTATTTATTGACTAACTTGAATTGCTTTGTCATAATCTATTGAAGAGAGAACTTCATCAGTTTCCTCAATCATCTATAAAAGATGATATAACTCCAGAGGATACTGTTAGATTCAATAGCCACCTCAACAAACTTAAACTGGATACAGAAAAACGATTTGAAGGTATTTTGAAATTGAAGGTATATGACTGGATCAAAAATCCCTTTACTGAAAATATTGAAGAGGCTGATACAAATTGTCAAGAAGAACTGTTAAAAATTGATATGATAAAGAAAGTAAAACATAAATTTGACAGTGGTAGATATGAAAATCTATAGCAAAATAAAAAAAAAAAGCTGGTCTTATATCCAAATATGTGGAAAACGGTATTCAGTTTATTGATACCTTTCCCTACTCATACCTTGTGGAATCAGAATTTAGTGCTGTTAATCATATTATGATCAAAGAAAGAAACTGCCTGAATATTTCCAAAAGGGGAGAATGTTCCTCACACAAACTGAACCTTTGTTTACTCCTCACAAAAACGTAACCATATATTCAATATCTAGTTTCCCAGCATCAGCCTCAGGGATCCCACTAATAATTCAATAACTTAAGGTAATTTCTATGCATGCAAAGTATAAATAAAAAGATAGATTTAACTATAATTTGCTGTTTTATAAAGATTTATTCTGTCAAACTTAGTGAAATCCTGACATAAAGTACTTGGTAAGTAATTATTACAGTATAAAGTCTTTAATCCGGACCTCAAAGCAACAAAGCTTTCTGCGCATAATACCTTTATGCATACGTATAATATGTTTACGCATGCATGTTTAATGTATAACGGACGCTATAAGCTAGGCTAAAATTATCTGAGTATCTATTTCAATTAATGTTGCAGATTGCATTGTTCCTTAATATTCTAATTGGATCTGGTTTATTATTTTTTGCAGACTGTTAGAGCAATTTTATAAAAAGTAAGCTTGAACATTCGATTACGTCAAAAAGAATTTCAGATTCTGGAGCTGCCAAAGGATCTACAAAGCGAAAGCATGTTTCGATGTAGAGCTTCCGATAGTGAAAAAAGTGACAGAGAGGTTATTGAAAACAAAAAAATTTCGATTGACAAGTTAGTCGGTATTCTCGACACAGCAATTACAGGACTTGAACAATGGAACTTTGTAACTGAATAAAAAATTACGTCTGTCTACAGAATTAAAGAGAAAATATTAGCACAAAAAGAGCAACATAAATAATTTACTTTGAAAGAAATGTTTAATAAAGTAAACAAATAAATATTAAGCATTTCTTTTTGTAAATTTTGTTACCTTTTAGATCATAAATGCTTCATTATTCATAAGTCACAATTTCATATTTTTAATTTTATAATTTCTACATGCCATCTTACAAGTGTTAAACTGATGATCTAATATCTGGAAAAATTACAAACCTGGAATCGCCAAAGTCCCGACAAGTCCAGACCTCGGATTTGTACTGTATTGATCTTTGTACTTTTTCACAATAATCCACACAGGAATGCTCATCATGTTATTTAACATGTGAAACCCTTTCCCAAACTGATTTTATTTTTAGTTACACATGCAAATATTTCAAACTTCAACCTGTGTATGGCTCCTAAATATAATCTACAATTTTAAATACCAAATACCTTGGTCAAATTTCACCATACAGGTGTCAAACATTTTGTATTTTTTAAACCGAGTATAAAATTTTCCTAAATATAGGTTCACCATACAGGTGTCAAACATTTTGTATTTTTTAAACCGAGTATAAAATTTTCCTAAATATAGGTACAAGGATACAGAAAATGCATAAAAAGTTAGATTTCAGACTTTATACAAAATACATTTTTTAAATTCAAAAATAGGGAAAAAAACTGGGCCATTTAAAACATTTTTGTAACCTTGAGGGCAGTGGTTTAAATTTAAAAAAATTATGGCCAATTGTGAAATTAAGGCTGAGTAATGTGTACATGGTGTATAATGCTCATGGTTAGAAATTAGATAAAAGTGAATTAATGCCTCAGATTCCCAACAATACTAAATGAAGTTCAGTAGAACAGTCCTATGAATATTTGTTAGATATAATTATTATTATATGCAACATTTGTTGAAATACGAATGAAACATCTGGTAAAGGCTGAGTTATAAACTGTACATATTATTTTAAATAATGTATGAAATGGAACAAAATCATTTGACTTGTTAATTGATATAATATACTAAAATATTATTATATAATGTATTGAAATACAAATGGAACATCTGCTAAAGGCTGAGTTATAAATTGGACATATAATTTTTAATAATGTGCGAATTGGAACAATTCACTTGTTCAATTCACATGTTTAATCAACTGAAAATTATTACTAGATGCACTCACTAGTTCACTGACAGGGCTGCTCTATCAACAACAATGGAATAATTTAGGAGGTCCTGGATAAATACTCAATAAACAATGGAACATCAGTATCACATTTTTTTTTTAAACTTAGATGACTAATCCAAAGTTAGACTACGTTTAATTACTGGACAAGAAGGAAAACAGGGAGAAAAAGGTTCATGAGAAAGACCAAATTTCCAGTTACCATATATAAAACTGAACATCAAAGACACGCTTATCTAGAGTTCCTTTCTTTCCTAAAGATATCATCAAATGTTTTCTAGCAGAAAATGTTAAATGAAGACATCAAACACTGCCTATAGGATTCCGTAACTTCATGATATAGTTATACAGCTGCCCTCATACTTCTGCATCTAATGAAAGAAATTACTCCCTGCAGTACATCCTGAGCAACATTTTAGGTGATAAGATAGCCAAGTGATCAATGTGTTTGGGCATTCTTAACAGAACTTAAGAAGCAAAAGTCTGGCCTTTAAAAGGAAAAGAACTGATGGAAACAAGACATGAAATTTTGAAAGAATTTCTTTTATATAATTGCAAAAAATACCGTATATACCCGCGTATAAGTCGAGATATTTTGGAAAAAAAAAAAGTGGGGGGATCGACTTATACGCGGGGCCATAAAAAATTAAAAGAATCGGAAGTTCAAAAATTTCTTTATATAATGCAGTTGTTTTCTTCCCGCACTCAAATTGGACGACTTATCAAATAAGTCACTTACTTGAAGTAACTTCATGACAAATTTATGTGACGAACTAAATCACATGAGTTTACGCCAATGCACCAAACTTTTGGCGCAATTAGTTACTATCTGATGTGGAAGCAAAGGTTATGGAGTTTCAAAAATACATTATCAATGTAAAAAAAGGGACTTCTTTTGAACTTTCCCAAATAGGGAATATGGACGAAACCCCCATGTGTTTCGATCTACCAGAAAATAAAACAATTGACTGCAAAGGCAGCATTTTGATAAAAACGACCGGGCACGACGAAGGCTCTAGTAGTGACTGTAATAATACAGAGTTCGAGACTGAAAATATGTATGATGACGAGCCAATGACGACAGAAGAGTTCTATGAAATGTTTGGCGAATCTGACCATGAATCGGACGTAGAAGGATTTTGATTTTGCTTATTTACCAAGGTATTTTTATCGTATATTTACTTTTTTTCTCAGATGATTTTGAATAAATGTAGTACTTAAAAATTTTTTTTCGAAGTTTCTCGATCGATTTCGGAAGTGGGGGATCGACATATACACGGATTTCTTATTTTCGACGAATTTTTTATGTTGAAGTGGGGGGGTCGACTTATACGCGGGTATATACGGTAATTATTTTTCATATGCTTCTTCTGCTACAAATAAACTGGCTGCTTAATGTGTCTAATTTTAATTTATGCATACTCTTCCAATTTTGACTGATTGGTAATGACTTTTTTTATTCTATTTTCAGTTCTTATATATAACCTATATTAAAAAATAGAAAGGGTGCTTAAAATTGTATCAAGATGTTAGGTTCCTCAGAATCCACACAGCTGTTCCATTATCAAATAATCATGGCAAAATTTTATGAAATCGAATGAGTCATATTTAAAAACAAATGTAAGTTAATATTACACAGTAAGTGTTCATGTAACACGAGCAAAAGTAAGTTTAAACTAAATAACACACAGAAAAGTTCTCACTTATAGAGTTGCTGATACTCGCTGACTTCCATTTTCAATCTTTCAATCTCTAACGTCTCAGAATTTAATTTTTGTTTCAATTCATCACACAAAAGCATGAGTTCATCACATTTCAATTGGAGTCTTCTTCCTTCTCGATGAAGAACAGGAACAGATTCATTTTTACACTGTGTGAAATTATCCGCACAGCGTTCCTGAAGCTGAGATGCTAGAAAGAAGCAAAGAAAATCCAAATAAAATTTCAATTATATTTTTAGAAGCAAGTAACAGAAACTCTCTTGATAGACACTGAAAACTAAAGCAATACATTCAATTGAGAAAAACTTACTAGACTTTTCAAATGTATCTACTACATGAACTTCCCTAGAGACACTTTTTTCCTCTGACTTAGATGGCCCCTCATCCTGAAAAAGACATCTATATAATTTTTGAAATAATAACTAAAATAATCTTTTATATATTAGTAGAACTAAACATATTCATTCTCCTCCCAAATACATACAAAAGATTGTATAAATATTTACGGTCATGGTCGACAGTTCATTAATAATGATAACATAGTAATACAATCACACCCGATATCAGACAGCTCACAGAATATTATAATTGGAATATTAAAATCAAAACTGGCAAAGAAAAATAAATAAAAATAAAAGTATAGGTATATTGGGTTGTTCTGAAACTTATTTCCCTTTTTTACCACCAAAGGGATTAGTTGTGTTTTTAACCAGCCAACGTTATTCTAACCATATCGTCTTTATATATTTCAAGGTTTATAGTTAAAAAATAGTTTCATTTTATGTAAGTGCTTTGTTTTGGTGTCCATCAAAAATGGAAAATCAAACACAGCATTTTTGGCATAGTTTTCATATTTATCATCGAAAAGGTAAGAACGCTGAACAAGAAAAATAAATAAAACAAATTAAAATAATAAAAGAAAAGATAGTAATTAATAAATTGTGCAAAATGTACGGAGATAATGTGCAGACAGAAGGCTAGTGCGTAAACTAGTTTGCAGAATTTCATTCCAGCAATTTTGCTGTCAAGAAGCAATGCGTTCTGGAAGGACAGTTGAAGCTGACAAAGACAAAATAAAGGTATTGATTGAAACAAACCTTTGAATAATAACATCAGAAATCATTAAAAGATTATATTTTCAACTTCAACTATTTATGATCATTGTGAAACAACTTGGTTTCATTTCTAAGTTCAATATATAAATTCCACAAGTTTTTCAAGAAAGAAATATATTCCATCGCATTGACATCTGCGATTTGCTTCTCAAAGGTCAAGAAAATGATCCCCTTTGGAAATGAATCATATCTGGTGATAAGAAATAGATTGTTTACAACCATGTGGAACACAAGTGTCCATAGCATGAAGAAGATGAATGAGCTCAAAGAACTTTGAAGGCTGCTGATATTAACCAAAAGAAGTGATGCTCTCTCTTTGGTGGGATTTTAAGAGAACACTTTCTTTTAATGCTTCCACCAAAAAATTCTGATATTCATTCAAAAGTGAACTGCCATCAGCTGGACAAATTAAGTGACACCACCCTACAGAAAAGGCTAGAAATGATCAACAGAAAAGATGTAGCATTTCATTATGTTAATACCAGATCTCACTTAAGTTTAATAAATCATCAGAAGCTGCTAGAGTATGGATGGAATATGCTACATTACATACAATACTCGCCAGATCTGGCACCCTCAGATTATTAATCATTCCAGCCCTTACAAAGTTTTTTAAATAGTAAAGCATTTGCTTCAAATGAAGATGTAAAAATCATTTACGTCAGATTTTAACCAAAAATTACAACTCTTATGAGCATTGAAATATAAAAGGTTAATTTAATAATATATTTAAGTATTATAAAAAAAATTCCTTTGAAAAGAAAATGAAATTACTTCCTGAATAATCCAGTATTTTTTATGAGCTGTAATGGAGTTTTGTAATCAACAGCTTCAGTCAGCTTTTAAATACTGAAAGAATTCTATACTTTACTGAAATGTTAATGCACATACAAAGACTTTTCAAAGCACATACAAAAAAATTTTCCCTCCAAAGGAAAATGAAGCTTAATAAAAGAAATCTAATTAAATACTTTTTTTAGAATATTGATAAATCAAATAATATGACAAATATTAACATTAGTTAAGTCAGATTATGGAAGAATTCTAAATAATATACCTTATTGTAAAATCGTTTTCCTTCCCTCTTATTAAATGATCAATACGTGGGCATATTTCTTACCAGAAAATCCTCATTTATGTATGTAAAAAAAGGAGGAGGTGAAATTATTTTCTGCTGAATGTCTGAGTGTTCGAGAAAAACTATTTCTTTCATTACTTTTAATTTCCTCCCCCCCCCGAAAGCAAAGAGAAAATTTTGAACTATAAATTTACTAGGTTGTCAAAAAAAAAAAAAAAAAAAAAAAAAAAAAACATACATTTGAGGGATAAATCTGGACTTCCTCCTACACAAAATTTAACGTTTAACACAGTAAGGGACAAACTTTTATTTCTTTCTTATAACCAGATTTTTTTTTACATCTGAGTTTCTTACAACAGGTCATCTGGATTTGAAGCAACAGTTAATATAACTTATCACATTTCCCATTCTTTACTGACAATAACATATTACAGAATTTTTCAAAGAACAAAACTTCTTGATGATTTCAAACAGGTCAATCTTATTTGATCTTCTCAATGATGATTTTTTAAGTTACACATAAAATGCATTTAGTGCTCTTGAGTTGTGTATGCTGAAGCAAAATAAAATGCCTCAGGTAGAAAAAAAATTAAAAATAAAATATAATGAACATGTGGGCACAGCAACTTTGACAGACAAGAGAATTTTTAAAAAATTTACTCATATCTTAATGATGAAATGTAAGAAATAATTTTCTCTCAAAGAAATTAATCCAAGGAGACAGGGAGTTGAAGGTTAACACGGTATTCTCATGTTTCTACACCCTACATGCAAATAACTATTTACAATAAAATCATAACTTATACGGAAGGAATAGAAATTTAAATGTCTAGTTTCTTTTTAAAAACTTAATACAGTCAAAAGTCTTTAATCCTGACGTCCATAATCCGGAATGATCTATAATCCGGACCTCAAAGCTACAAACTTTCTGCGCAAGCGTTTACGCATGCGCATAATATTTTTTTGCAGGTGCATACTATGTTTACGCATGCGCGTTTAATATATAACGAACGGTATTAGTTAAGCTAAAATTATCTAAGTCAGTTAAGGTTGCAGATTGCATTGTTCCTTAATCTTCTAATTGGGTCCGGCTTATTATTTTTTGCAGATTGTTAGAGCAATTTTATAAAAGTAAGCTTGAACTTTCGAAAACGTCAAAAAAATTTCGATTCTGGAGCTGCCAAAGGATCTACAAAGCGAAAGCATGTTTCGATGTCCATCAAACAAAAAGTGGAATTGCAAAAAATGGATAAAGGCATATCCTTTGTTTCTCTAACCATTCCGAAATCTGTTTATCAATTTAACGCTGCTCTGCGGGGGAGGGGGGAAACGTCGCGGCGCGCAATGAACTGGAAGTTGATCTATCAACACCTTATAATCAGGGCAGATGTTTTTATTTTATTCGGCTTATATAATTCCTTACTAAATGTAGTACAGGGTTATCCAAATTAAACTCCCCAACTCAGAGGCCTGTGCAGAGTGTTGTATGGGTCATAATGTGATGAAATTTTATAAACAGACACTTCAGATCATGCGCTCGAGATTTATTACACACAAAAAAATTAGTACAAGAAGTTGCCAATAGGTGCCGCTGTAACACTAGTAATGTGCATATTGCACCAACGTGATTTGTAGAAATAAAGCATCTGCGCTACGTATCCAAAAGACGAGCCCTACAAAAGTGGAAGACAGGCCTTGCACAGGCAGTTGTTTCCAGCTCGCTGATGCACAATGGCGACTTTGAAAGACAAAGCTCTGTTAGTGAAACTTTTCTACCAGAATGACGAGAACTCCTGTGCTGCAATAAGAGCATTCCGTTGGCTGAAGATTTTACGCCGAAGACCAATGACACCACGTGCTCTACGAGACGTGATGAAGACGTTCGAAAGAACGGGACAGTTGGGAATTTTACCAGGTAGAGGACGACAGGTTGTGGAATCTGCACGCATAGAAGACGTTGCTTTGGCGGTCGTGGACCCCACTAGTCCAAATCGCCACATGGTGTTGTCAATGTGCCAACTGTTTCTCGTGCTGTTGATATGCCCTATATGACCGTCTGGCGTGTGATGCTTCGAATCCTCGGTTATTTTCCTTACAAAATCCATAGTTGTCCTCACCTGTCCTTTTACTGATCCTGTAGTTCGGGAAACATTTGCGTTGCAGTTCCTTGCCAGAATGGAAGTCGATGCTGCTTGGCCGTGGAACATCCTTTGGACGGATGAGGACCATTTTTCCCTGAATGGTCAATTGAATACGCACAGCTGCCACATTTGGGCAAGTGAAAACCCGCGTGCAATCCATCAAGTGCCCTCGAACCCTCCAAAGGTTACTGTATGGTGCGGTTTTACTGCAACATTCGTCAATGGACCTTATTTTTTTTGAAGAGGTGACTCCAACAGTTCAAAATCTGCTCTGTCGTGGCATTCAACAGGTGTTACGGGCAACTTTTACCGATGCACGTGTGATTAGCCGCTGTTTCCCTACAGCTTGGCCTCTCCGCTCGCCTGATCTCACGCCATACGACTTTTGGTTATGGGTATTCTTAAAGGATCGGGTCTACCGAGAACACCCAGCCACCTTGGCACATCTGAAAGACGCAATTATTTGACATGTTCGTGGAATTAACGTGGACTTACTGCGTTCCGCTGTGGAACACACTGCTTTGCGAATGGAAAAAGTTGTGGAGAACCATGGCACACATATAGAACACCTGTAGAATGTCTTGTTGATCTGCAGCGCCACCTATCGGCAACTTCTTGTACTAATTTTTTTTTGTTTAATAAATCTTGAGCGCATGATCTGAAGTGTCTGTTTTTAAAATTTCATCACATTATGACCCATACAACACTCTGCACAGGCCTCTGAGTCGGGGAAATTTAATTTGGATAACCCTGTATTTCATCTCGATGTACTCCGTCTTTGATATGATTTAAATCAAATTCCGTCATTATAAATATCACGAATACACATCAAATAGTTTTCTGGTTGCAATTTTCTAATTTCGACTATGCGTAATGTATGCTTTACGCATGCGCGCGTTGAAAGAAATGTTTAATAAAGTAAACAAGTAAATATTAAGCTTTTTCTTGTAAATTTTAATACCCTTTAGATCATAATTGTTCTTTATTTCATAAATTACAGCTTCATATTTTTAATTTTATAATTTCTGCATGCCATCTTACCAGATTTAAAC